AATTACATAAGAGGCCAACACACAACCAGACGCCCTAAAGAATTACTCTTCGCTGATGACCAAAGCCTAGCACACAAAGATGAACGAAGTCTCCAACAAAACACCACTAGATTAAACGAAGAATATAACAACTACGACATGAATAACAACATCAACAAAATAGAGACAATGAAAGTGGGCAGAGAATCAGGACCACTTAGGATACACATCAACGACAACAGTCTCAGACTTGTCCAAGAATTTAAGTACCTCGGAAGTATATTCACAGAGGATGGGCGACTGAACAGAGAACTTGAAACACGAGTACAAAAGACCAATAATGTTAGTTACCAGCTTACCCCACTACTGAAACATCCTAACATCCCCACAGTAGGCGGATGGGGGATGGCGGTTTCAGGGTGCAAATATTATGTTTATATAGGGAAATCTTTTTCGTACTTTGGCAAAACCTGGCTGTGAGTGGGCTGGCGGTACAACAGGGGGAGGGGCGGCTCACAATGACGTTTGATTGTGCATGTACCAAAATAATCTGAACATCAAAACGATACGTAAGCAGTGAAGAACACTTTAGCCTCAGCCTCAGTCACACCTCGATTACTTTCTCCTTTCAAATTACTTGTATCTCCGTACTGGCGCCGAAGATTCTATCTTCTTTGCTGGCCCTGGTCCCAGCTTCTGTTATGGTAGCACTATTTGTAGAGCGCTTGGGTTTGCCCTCGAAGGAATTGGATAAGGTTTTCGTATGCCGGGGACCCATCAGCTGACTGAAGGTCATGAGCTCGTTGGTCGACTCAAACTGAGAATGCCTTCGTCGACGGCCGACTGGTCTGTGATTTTTGTTGCAAGCACCTGGGGGTGGAATCACTGGGTACGACATTTTGGAGCAACAAAAAAAAAGCCCATGTGAAACCAAATTTCTGTTTTCTCCAAGATTTGAATACTCTGAATATGTAGGAGTAGAAAAACAAACGATGAAGATGTAAGCTGGATGTATGTACCTGTAAGGACAAAACAACAAGAACAGAAAAAGGGACCGGTCGGGGTAGGTGGATCCACATTTCTCCGAATTTGTTTTTTAAATAAATATTTATTAAGAACAAAACAATAGTAAGTTTCATCCCCGTCCAAAGCACACATGAATAACACGTGAATAGATAAATAAAATAATAGATAACTAGGGTAAGTAAGACAATACGACAGGATAGTTCAAGTTGCACCGAGACGCCTTGACGGGAATGGTAAAAAAACTAAATCAATAGCATTAGCACAGATAACAATTAAATTACCCCAAAGACGTGGTGGGCTCACAAGTGTTATGTGGGTCAACGTCTTATGACGTACCACAGAAAGAAGGAGCAAACCACACCAGAGCACCCGCGTACCACCCACTAGCTGACTGTTCCATTGGTTGCTGAAGAAATCAATGGTGTCGGCGTTCTTTTGTGACCATAACTGTTGATCTTATCGAGTGAAGACCGAACCATGTGGTTCATTTGATTTCATTTAGAATCTTAACACATGTAGGAGTTAAGTTTAGTTTTAGTAAGAGTTTTACGGCACTTGCAACACAACAAGATCATAATAGTGCAGGAGATTAGAGGTGTTACAAGAAAGTAATAAACACAAAAAAAAAGAAAGTGGAGAGATCAGGACGATAGCTGTTTGATAGGAAAGGAGGAGCAAAACACGCCAGAGCACCCGCCAACCACCCACATGTAAGAATTTTGAAGTCGTGCACAGCACAACACGGACATAATATAGCGCCTGGAAAAAGCAAGCACGACAGACATAACATCAAAGGAGAAGAAAAGGAGTTAGACCAAACAGTGAGGCCTTCCAACCATGGCACTGTTTTACTCTTACTTGCATATGTCAACATTTTTATTTAAAAAAAAATAAAAACAAGCAAAAAATCCATCAAAAACATTTAAAAAATAACAAACAAAAAATGAAACCCTCCCCCTTAAACCCCCCCCCCCCCCCCAAACAACAATAACAACAAAACAAACAAACAAATATAAACGACAAAAATCTCCCCAGGTTGACAATGGTACCTCTTTTCCTATAACACACAAAAGCAATGACGGACTGGACAAGGGTGATGAACAGCCCGATGGCCACAAGAATCTGCCAGGGAAGTGGGCTTTGCTTTTTGAAAGCACCTGCCAAAATACAATGTAAACCGCTCAAGCTCTAAGTCGTTTCTCTTCATTGAGCCTCCCGCCCTCCCCCGATCTCTCTCTCTCTCTCTCTCTCTCTCTCTCTCTCTCTCTCTCTCTCTCTCTCTCTCTCTCTCTCTCTCTCTCTCTCTCTTCCTAATGTCTATTTATGAACCTTCAACCTCCCACCCAACCTCCATCCGCCCGTCCACACCGAGAGAGATGCAAACAGGTCGAAGTTGGGGACTGCTTTGTTGAACGGATTGAAGCAAAGTGTGTTTTTATTATATGTGTGGCATCGCAGTGAAATAAGACGCTGGTTAAGATAATGAAATCGAAGAACCCGGCATTTTCCTGCTGGTGTGGCATGTTTCATCGAATTTTTGTTTTTTGGTTCTAAAACACATTTCCTTGTGAATTTTACTGAAACAGTTTATTAAAGGCACACATCAGTATGTAAACCTTTCAAGCTTCCAAAGACTTTCACATTATGGAAGTTACCAATTTTAGCAGCCGCTTTCTCGCTAATCTTATCTTTGAAAACTAGCGACCCCCCATCTCCTTCAATCGCAAAATACCTTGACTTCTCTTCAAGGTAGATGGGTATTTTATTCATCGAAAGCAAGAGAAATGAACAGGCTTTAAGAATGTACAATAATTCTACATGCCCAAACATTGATGAGCGTCCGATTCCACCGCGTTGTGACACATGTCACCTAGGCGCTACACAAGGAGAGAAAGTCAACCAGGGTCATCCTAATACGTCGCTGGTCAACGGGGCTCTGGTGAAACTGTGTGACAGACCTACTATCAAGTCATCAGCGGATTATTTATTGCTAAAATCAAAGGAAAAAACCTCAACGAAACCAAAAAACCAACAACCCAACAACCCAAAAACGGCATCGACAAAGGAAATGTTACAGGAGGGGACAACGAAAAGAAAGAGCAACAAACATCGGAACCTGGAACGTTAGCAGATTGACAGACAAAGAACCTCAAATTGATTAGCTTATGGCAAAGAGAAGGATATATACCTGCTGGGATGGTTAGACATATGAAATAGGGATCAGAATGCAGAGAAACCCTCGAAAATTATTATCTACTTACCTGGACTGGGGCACCGCAAAAGACAGACAGAGCTAAACATGAATTAGGTTTCATAATGAAACCAGAAAAAGCAAAATGCACCAAAGATTATGGAATAATATGTGTGTCACAAAGAATCATGCCCCCCCCCCCACCTGACAATGCTACTGACTGAAGTTGTCTATAGGCCATTCCCAAAGGGGGTCATAACGATGTTGTTATGCACAGTAGAATTGTAAAGGGGCTGATTTATCAATGCCATGCTCATACTGTTCCGAAACAACTGCTGCCTTTTCTTTCCTCATCCTTACTATCGTCATTTTTCCTCTACATATTTAGTATGCTTGAGACTCTCTTGTGAACTGCTACTTCCGGGGTGCCCTGAAAGTCGAAGCAGACTATGTGCTGTTGGGGCTGAGAGGTGAGCCGAGTATGCCTGATTCCTTGTAAGGACTTCTCTTTTTACATCCACCCCTTGGCGCCATGAAACCTTACTAAAAAAAATAAAAAATCATGAGCATTATGTTTTAGAAAGCGTTGTGCAGCACTTGCAACACAATTAGGTCATATAAGTGCAGAAGATTAGATGTGTTACTAGAGAGAAAAAAAAATTAAAAAGAAGGAGGAGAGATATAGACGATAGTTGTTTGATAGGAAAAAAGGAGCAAACCACACCAGAGCACCCACCAACCACCCACCATGAGCATTGGGCTACGAGAAGACAACCAGCCAACACCATACACCCAGGAGTACGCCCCATGAAATGACAGTTACTCGGAAGAGGAAAAGTAAGAGTGCTTTGAAAAGCTCAATGAAGAAGTTATAGGCCTAGTCATGTATGACTTGATGGAAGAGTAGGACCAAAAAGGTTCCCATTGGAAGAACCACCTTGGAACCCACAGCAACCTCGATACAACAGTAATACTCGTACTGAATATATGTTACGAAATTGTCAACAAATTTTCCCTCTACGGTTAATACAGTGGAATATTCATTCATTCATTCATTCATTCATTCTTTCATTCATTCATTCATTCATTCGTTCGTTCGTTCATTTGTTCGTTCATTTATTCACGTATCTATTTATTTTTTCATCTATTTATTCATTTATTTGTTTATCATTCATTCATTCAGTCATTTATTCGTTGATTGATGGATGGATAGATTAATTAATTCATTCGCATGCAAATCCAAAAAAGCAAAAGTTAGCTCACCCTCGCCCTTGATCTGCTTCATCTTGATCTTTACGCTGTAGCGCGTGAGCAGCTTCTGTGACAGCTTGTCTTGCAGTGAGCAGCGGCACATGCACCCCTCCATCTCTGGCGTCATCATGAAGGACAGCGTGGAGTTGACCACCATAACCTTGGACAAGGTTCGTTGGCGCCAGTCAGTTTACTTATTTATTTATTTATTTATTTATTTATTCGTTTCTTCATTTATTTATTAATGTATTTATTCATTTGTATGGCTTTATTTACTTATTTTATCTATTTAGGCTATTTTTTTGTCAATTATAATTAATTAATTAAT